AGGTTGATATTCATCATGGACTAACATCAGTTAGGAACCATCGGAAACCTAGGAGCACTGAATAGCTGTCTCATCCTAGTGTAGGACTTCTCAGAAGTGCACGCCCAGAACCTTCAGATTCCGCAGTCAGCCACTGGGTTGGCATCAAATGGTCCACACTTCCCAATTCTGTCAGTTCACAATATAGCGCTACCTCCATGCAATGCCTTCATCCCCACGTAAGATTTGGTTTGCTCCACCAGTTAAGACTTCCCATTAGACCTTTGGAATCTCATCTCAGAGCAAGTCACTAATGAGCACTAGAATCCTTTAGTTTGAAGGTTTGCAGAGATTTATTTGTTGATTTCGAATTGGTACTTATCATGGACTGATATTTTTGTTTTCTAGTTGTAAGAATAGCTTCCACTGACTTAACAAAACAGCAACAGAGAGAATAAAAATAGACATAACATAGTAATTGGAGGTGGACACCTATAAATCATGTCAAAATCGATAACTACTGATTGATTTAATTCATTCAAACAGCAAGTATCTACTAACGAGTAGTTTGAGTAGTGTTCAGGCATTTTTAGATGCAGTTACGCAATTATTATTATTCTCATTTGCATGCTTGGTAAAAATGTCACACACGCACGCACGTATCCTGTGTATTAATTACTGATGTTTAATAATTCTACAGAATTCAATGAAACAAAAGGAAATAGGAAGAAAATTTGTAAAATAAGGATAATTTTTTGGAATTTGTCGTATTTCTTCCCAGCTTTTGTCTCAAAGCAAGAAAAAGGAGTAGTTTTAAACAACAATTATAATTTACGTGTATATATCTGTGGAGCGGAAGAGATATGATTTTTACATATTGTTAATAAAACTAGGCTTCTTTTCGTTTAAAAAATATCCTACAGTCAATTGTTTTCAATGTGGATTATTATTACTCCTACTTCTACTACTATCGGGAGGCAAAAGATTTAGAATTCAAACAATGAACGATTTATAGAGGTGCCATTGTAAACTCTGAAGAACACCCGTGTACGACGGGCAATACAGTTTCATTCTCAGGATAGTATAGGGTCTGTAAATCAATACCTCAAGACTGGTGGATTGATTCTGAAATGTCAAGTACATATTGAAAGATCTTATTATTCACCTCAACTATACAAAGGTAAATGATCCAAACATTCCTACATTTCAACTGATCATAAGAAATCTATCCATGGACTATTAGTTATCAATGCAAAGCGGCTATCTCAACAGACTTATTATTGACTAGGTGAGAGTGTTACAAATCCACCTGGTTTACAGGTTACTGAAAAACTGCCTTCAGTTATACAGAAATAGATATCAGCAATATTGCCAACATAACCTTCAGAGGAATGTTGAATTATGTAACCTAAGCCGGGATACGGTCTTATGAACACACTATTTGATAACACATAATATAGACCACTTATGAAGGAACTAAGTATTCAGAAACTAACTAGCAGTGAGAAATAATGAGAAGAAAACAGATGTTGAAGAGGATTACCGATGCTGTTATTTCTTTGCGGAAGACAATCCACTTAGTATACTTAACACACATATACACCACACCATCTCATCTTCACTAAAGTAGTGGAATAAGAAGAGTGAAGTAACTAACCTATTTTCAACACCATGCTTACTTCAAAACTAAATGTTGGTACATTTAAAAGCATATTTACTAACTGATATTCAATGAAATATGAAAATAACCATAACAATGTGAACTTCACCTCATATTTAAAGTCACTAGCATTATAAGATGTAGAAAGGGAAGGTAGCGTCCAACATGTCAACACTTGTCACACGTTATCAATCATCTACCAGAAGATGATTAGTACACTTGAATTCATTGTGGTTATGATATACAATCTAATACTCGGTGGTAAGATCTGATTGGTTGGCGTCAGTGACCTTCGTCTTGATCCTTCACTGACTTTATGCTTTACTCAACAAACAACCCAATATCCCTCGGCGTTTCAAGCGATAGGTGCAGAATTCAAGTTTCAATGAGGACGTCACTCATTGAGATGCAAATACATCTAGCTGACGAGTCCTAAATAGGATGAAACATATCCTGGATTCCACTGCTAGCCACCAAACAGACTATAATATAATGAATATCCTGGGAGTATTCAGACATCCGCATGGGAGCACATCTACCTACAGAGGTCAAGTAATTCAACTTAGTATAGCAACGGGAAACTACAAGTATCAATAAATCCAAAATCCTGTTTACTTGTTTTGAATCATTCCTATAGATGTCTGGAAACTTTCTTTAGGTAGGAACTAAGTATCCGACTGTCTGTCTAGTTTTGCTTTCGGTGGTCGTCAGACAATGGAGTTCAAACAATGAATAGGTTAACACTCATAAGTGAGCATCATTGTGGATTCCTTTGTAATTATGATTAATTTGATTGGCATTCAACCAAAACCTCGAGAAGTTAGAAAACGTTTACACCAGATATTTTACGGGTAGTTGTTATTTATTAGTTTCCTTAGTATACTACATAGAGCTAAGACTATACCTCCACTACAAATCATTATCATGAATGAAGACTAATGAAAAAACTGACATCTGCTTCGTCTAAACATAGGACTCATCAGGAACACACACCTACGACACTGTTAGCAAATATAAACACTTACTACTTCAATTAACAAGCTACACATCACTTATCAGTACCATATACATTCAGTACCGGGGCTTAGTGAAATGAGTGATAGTTATCCTAACAACTGCTGAGATAACCAATTACGTTTCCTTATTTTATGTAAAACTACCCTTTTAAACGAAATACCTAAACCTGATTGGTTATTTCAACGGTTGCTAGGGTGGTCCTTAAAGGCAATCACTGAAACATGTTCACCTGTGCGACCAAATGCTGAATAAACTTCATGCATTAGTACCAAGGTTAGGCAACCGCACTGAAAGAATACACTTTTTTTCGACCAGATTAATGAAACACTTTGTTCAGCACCAGTTAAAATGATCCAGTTCGAATGAGAACAAAAAAGCAGAAAAGCGAAGTTATCAGAACAGAGAGGCGGGATACAATGACTAATATACGTTGTTAAAACATCACACACACACACACACACACACACACACACACACACACACACACACACACACACACACACACACACACAGCGAGCATTAGCGACGAATGACTTGTGTGAAATAATTACGTCCGAAAACAGTATAAATGGGTGAAAACATGAAGTATATACATAAACTACTGCTACTACTAATATTCTGCCTTTTGTAGAGAAAAACATCTTCCAGTTGTGTGTTTTGTGCCAACACATAAAAGAATAGACACAAAGTTTCATGCTAACTGTGTATCAGTTGAGTGCTGTATAGAAAAAAATTTCAGTAAAGCATATAATGGTAACACCCAAAATGGTCTTAGGCTAAACCCCTTTAAGTGTCAGACTATTAGTTCTAGCCTAAGGCCACTTAAGTCCCATGACGCCTGTTGCATTGATGGTATTTATGAAGAAAGTAAATCGAGTGTTAACCATCTTGGATTGAGTTTTACCTCTGATCTTTGTTGGTCGTCTCATATCTTGTTGACTTGTAAAAAAATCTTTCGTTTAATGTATAACATTAAAAAAACTCAGGCTGTCTGGTATAACTCAACCTCTAATTCTACAATTGGTTAATTCCAACATTTTACCTATTCGTTTCTATTGTTCCGCGTTGATTTTTCCTGATCTACTAAACAGGGGCTATGCTAAATTGCATAGGGTTTTGAAAACCGTCAGTAGGGTGAGTGCTGTGTCTCTGGCTCAACTGATTAACACCGTAGTTGACAGACATTTAAGTCTTAGCAGGCAACTAGCTACAGTAATTTTAACTGGCACTGACCACCCACTTTATCCACAGCTGTCTCTCTCCTTGTACCTCCTCAGGGAGTACAAGACATTACGTAAGACTATACAGTTGTACAGCTAAATACAAAAATTCAATTGTTCCTTACCCAGCAAGCATATTACGTGAGGAGAAGCGTGTTAGAACAGAACTCACATATCAACTTTGTAACAGTTAGTAATCTCATTCCGATAATTAAATTCATGTAAAATTTTCCTCGTTATTAACATTCTTTAAATAATTTAAATTCTTATAACACTATTTGAAACGTTGTAAAGGAGAACACATATGTGTATATAATTTTTGTTGCAATATATCATGCTGATAACTTCAAATTGTACCAAAAAATTGTTTGGAGTAAAGTGATTACTGTTATCACTATTATTAGTATCATTATTATTATAACAATAGTGAGCCACTGAACTCTAACCCAGCGATTGGATAGTCAACGTGTTCGCCACGAAACCTGACGGTCCTGAGTTCGATCCCCAACCGGTTCATGGGTGAGTCCAGGAGTCTCATACTAGAACGAAATAGCTGTCTAGTGCTCCCAGGTTTTCAATGGTTCCCCAACTGATGTCAATCTGTGGTAAATACTACCTTTAAATAATGATAATTGTTAACACCTTGACCAAAAATCTAAACACTGCATGTCAATGAGTTTTTTCACAGCATGAAATACGTTTTAGTGGAAGCTATTGAGCGCAAAGACAACCATACACATCAGTTGAAGTACATAGCTGTCTAGGTGGACATTGTTAGTGGTGTATGTATCACGTCCACAACACTAAGCATTACAACTTCCCTAGAGGCGAAGCTGATAGGCTCTCTGTGAGTATTTATACTTGTCATCCTGTTAGAAACTCATTCTTCTGAGTGGTTTATCCCACATTGAATATGAAGACTAGTGTGTTGGTGAAACGTTCACCAATCAAGTCTTTGTCTAGTTGAGAATTGACAACACAACAAACGCATTTCATGATAAATATTTCACAACTTTCAAGAGGGAACTCTTGACATTAAACATAATCCATACTGTTGAGGGGAATTTTAGACAGAGAAAACGAATTATACACTGATAAATATTTATCAAGAGTGAGAAACTTACATTTCCGTCACCACGTCCAACTGTGAAGATAACACTGATGATGACTAAATGTGAGAATTCTGCTTGAATCCATTCACGCAGACCATCTTCTACGTGTGTATTTGGACACCAGGCATAACCACTTGTATGTTCATTACTTCCATACACTTCGGATAATCTATTAAAAGGGGGAAAAGAAAACGGAGAATTGATGATGAATGCACTTGTATATTCATTTGTTCAAGAATATACAGCCAATTTCTTGCATCGACTAGAATGGTTGGATAACGGATTATCGCATGTGAGGATTTCTAGCTGAACTTACTCATAAACAGATAACACCAGAGTTTCTAGAGGTGTCGTACAGTTACTTCATGTTATTCTGATGCTCTTTGACATTATGAACATCAGTGGCTCTCAGTCTTTTCGGAACGAACAATCCCAAGTTACATAGCGAGAGTATCACTCTCGTATCAGACTTCGACTGTAACTACAAAGTACCGATCGCCTTCTTGTATCATGAGAACAGCCTCTAATCCAACTTCCTATAAATATGTCCACAACTTAGAGTGAAGCATTTTTCGTCATGCACTTCAAAATGTGAAACTGTAAAATAAAATGTATGCATAGATTGTACAACACTCCGTTAAGAAAGAGCAGCACTGACCAAATGACAATTAGTTTGTGACAAATACCGCCTTGTCTGATCTTTGTTGTGGTTAACTACTGGTTCAAACCTAGCCCCACGCACTTAGATCTGGACAGCCACGCCCTCACACAATAGAGGTAACTCATTGGCTACTATATGGAAGTGCAGACATTTGCTCAGTCCATTTCAATTATCCATTGTTGGGAATAGGAGCGAATGATTCATCGCATTTGAAGGAAATCGAGCCAATAAGATCCTTGTGTGTTCTGCAAAAGCTACACAGATGAAGTATTATTCTTTATTGCCGACTGAAGTTTTACTACCCTGGACAACTGCTATACATTTCCAGACAGTAGATAATACCACAAGGTGAACAGCAGTTGAAGAAAGAGGAATGGAAACTTTACGACACTAAACATTGATTAGTTTTCTTACAGTCAAGTCAATAAGTCTTGCAATGTTAATGATGTTTTCAAAGGTGACTTCATGACCAGATGGTGATAATATTTATGACACCGATGCATATGACAGACTATATTATCCTCAACACTTTCTTCCTAGCACACCATAAGAGCTAAATAAGGTATGTTACATATTATACACTTAGTAGTACGTGTATAAAGTCTTAAATACTTGCTCCTAGTCTTGCCCGAAGATTGGCACGTAGAGAGCTATGGGTGAAGAAAATGCTGGTCATCTGGTAAAATAACTCCTGTCAGATGGTTACATAAGTCGAAATATCTGTCCATAACAGAAGGTTTAGAGGTACACCACTAGTTTTTCTGACAATCTTCAAAATATAGCAATATAGCATAGCCTTTTTTCAACAATCCAGGAAAGAATAAAAGGAAACAATAGAGGAGAATAGGTAAAATCCAAGAATTTATAAAACACAAGATAAGAAATTGAGTTATCCCAGATACTTTCAGCTTCCTAATATAATAAGTTAGGCGAAAGATTGCTTTAGAAATTACTAAGATACGTGAGAACTAACAAAGGTCCAAAGAAAAACATACACGCCAAAAAAAATCACACTAGTAACACTCTCTAATACACAATCATCGGTAGAACAGGAATCATGAAATTTAAGCAGTTTACATAGAGATTACGTTCGCATCTGAAACTAAAGTTTATAGTTCAGAAATATATCACTGTATTAAAAACTTTAAATTGATCAATTCATTTAATCTTCCACACTTAATATTTTTTATTTGTCCTTAAAACGTATTAACGTCGTTAACAGCACTATTAACAAAAATTCTCATATATATGTTATGTTACTAAGTCTACATCTCTTGATGGTTACTTCAAAATTATGAAAAATAAATTGAACACATTATGAGAACATCAAGATGTGAATAAAGATGAATACAGATAAACGACACAAATAGGAAGAACACTGAGTTCAATGCTTCAATTATATATGACCTAAAGGGAAACAGAAATAATTATGAGAAAAAAAGAGATCTTTAATCTTTTTAACATTAATTCACAATCAATTATTAAATTAAATAATTAACAATTTGAATCAAGATGGATGAAAGGAAAAATGAAAACAAGAAAGAAGCAATTTGTAATAATAATAATAACTAATACTGCCCTTGTACACTAATCTCACTATCGATCTAAATAAATTAAATTCCTCAAGGTCAAGTCATGAGCGGTCATTTTGAAATAGACCTTGTTGAGGATGATGTATTGATATAAATTATGCACAAAATAATTAAAAAAAACCCAGAAAAGGAAGAGTATAAACTGGACTTCCGAAGGTTAAATTAAATTTATTGGGATGTATGCACAATAGAGACAGAAAAAAGTATCATTAATATACTATTTTATCATATAGACGATTGATAATTATGGACCCTTAATGAATGAATAGGTGAAATTTCTAGTCGATGTACTTAATGTGATAAAAGAAAAAAAATCATAAGAAAAGAGATAAATATGCAAATTAGATGTTAGGTTTTAAAGATTTGCATAGTACATAACATAATGTTCAGATAAAGAAAAAAGTCATTTTTTTATGCATTCAGAAAAAATGTAGCCAGAACTAGTTTAGTTGTATATTCACCTTTTATTCAATCAATTCGATAATTTAGAAATAAGCTCTACAATCTGTAAGTATGAAATGACTACAAATGAACAAAACAGTTGTACATTGGTTATACTACTCCAATCTTTCTACATAAATCTAACCATTTTCATCAACACTATCCAATAACTCTCTGAAGTCAAAAAGACAAACTTTTATTCTTTTTTAAGATGGTATTCGTCATAGACTGCATTGAATAGCAACATGTACACCACGATACCTCAATCTTCTAAGCAAAGTTATGGGTGCACATGAAACAGTTGTAAAGTGCGACTCTTTACTTCTGACTATACTTCCTTTAGTTGATATCAGTTCAGGATAAAAATCATCCTCAAATCACTAGGATCTCTGTTACTAATCATGAAAGAGTGATGATACACTTTTAAACTTCAAGAAATGTTTATAAAAGATGAACACTTGCAGAATAATTTGTCTAACTTGAAAGTGACTTTTAACATTAATTTTCCTTGTTAGACTGTATATTAGCCTGAATTATGAATTAATAACACATAATGATACCTTTCCAACCAAGTTATCATTATCCATCAGTACATACACTAACGAAAACGAAACGAATGAAACGCACTCAGTAACCTTGTACACACCTATTATGCGAGAGCTACCTGGCTGTCCAAACCTTGATAGACGGAGCGGTGTTCGAACGCGCACATACAATGCCCAGTTAATTCATGAGAAACTTTGAATCCAAATACGGGTTCGCGCGTGGAACTTTGAGTTGAATATATTTCGTGAAGGTGAGTCCCATGACCAGAGTGGAGTGTCTGAAAGAAAATTCTAACTTACGGTAGAACGACTGATAAGTGATCAAGTGTCGAGACCACTGAACCGCAGTTATTGATACAGTTACCCTGGATTGGCTGTTGTAGTTTCGTCTGGAAACCATTAATCCTCATTCTGCAATCATGTGAATCTAGGGGGTTTTCCATAGATGATTAATTTTCCTATCCATTCAGGCATATAGGTGGAATACACACATGGGGGGGGGGGAAGAATTATCTTTCTGGGCACTAAAACACACACACACACACATCCTGCATCCACCCTCTTCATCTGTTTTAAATGTGTATATCATTCAACAGTGTAGAACGTGTAACTTGCCGAATCGCCATCATTGACTCCTTCCCTTTATCAATTGTCATTGTCGATGGAGAGAACAGATAAATAACTACATGATACTAACATGCAATGTATTTTTTCTTAAAATGAAATATAATTATGAACTTAATGAAATAATAATAACGATAATAATAAGTGATTTAACTAAATTGTTAAACAGTAGACACTGGATGCATAAATAGTCGACTCCAAATAACATTTAACCTTTAAGTGCTTAAAGGTAATGAATGGCATTAAAAACCTTAAGAGTGTGTATGTTGTTAGTTTTTCAAGAAACCAAAAGTCTAACAAACACAAATTGTCACAGATATTAGTGCTTGCAATACTTCCATTCAACTTTCAAACATTAGGTCATATAAGCTTCAGAATCCGTTTCACCCACAGAGTTTTGAACAACCGGGCAGTAGACATGTTTGCTCTCAGTCTAGTAAACAGAACTGATCATCATTTTTCTGGTTTAAAAGTGACGAGGTGAGGTAGATTGAATGATTGAAGCATAATTTCACAAGAGTCATGTGACTCAATGTACAATGCAGTGAAACGGAGAGTTCAACTTGAATCCAGTTGCCACAAAATATTATCGCTCAAACTTAACTCATCGAGGTAAAACTTGAATCAGTGATAGCTAAGACACCATGTCCTTGTCGTATGCATCAATGGATTACCAGTTTCAGCGGACAACTTTGATAATTAAGTTCATACTGATAGCTTTCTCTCTCCCTAACATTATTGGTCATGAATAATGGCTCATCCTAGTGAAGCAAATTTCTTGTCATTTTTTAATAGAAAGATATAACTGACAGAATTTGCCAATTCTTTAAGGATGAAATCGATGCATACTAACGACTTGAAATGACAACTACGACAAATTTTAAGTTCACTCAAACTGAGGAATAATCGTCGATGAGTTATGGATAAGTAGTCTCCAATGTCGATGACAAAAAGCATCGATGATCTATCAATAAAAGGTTTCAAACCATAATTAACTAACTGATGAACCCGATTTGGTTTCAGACGATTCCCTTGACAATGTGAACTCATAAAGAATTCCAGGGACAAATAACTTTCGATAAAATTCTCTAACTGCGTCCCTGCAGGTTACTAGATGGTAGCCGATTTGGATTTGCGCTCCTATTTGCTGAGTACTGACAGACGTTTATCGGCCAGGTTGGTAGAGGGCCAGACAAATTCAACTTAGAACCTCGTACACAAGTGCATCGGTTAAAGTTGTCACACTTCACAGTAGTAGTACACAAAGAACGAGTGGATAGAAAAAGACTGATATCAAAGTAGAGAA